AAGTGGTCTTCTGTGGTTTCTTCTTCAAGTTCTTGCTTGAGTTCCTGCCCTTCCTACTCTTAATGAAGGACCAAGACTGAGGCGTGTAAGCCAAACAAATCCTTTCTTTCTGTAAGCTGCTTTTGATCAGAATAACAGTGTTGTGTTTTATCTTAGCAACAAAAGAAAACTAGAACACATGGGTAGCTATATGTTTCGAGTTGTGCTATGTGTGCATGTGTATGCGTGTGTGTGTGTGTGTGTGTGTGTGTGTGTGTGTGTGTGTGTGTGTGTGTGTGTGTGTGTGTGTGTGTGTGTGTGTGTGTGTGTGTGTGTGTGTGTGTGTGTGTGTTTGTGTGTTTGTGTGTGTGTGTGTGTGCGTGCGTGCAAAGGGCCAGTTTAAAAAGCTCCAGGAAGTAGTGCGATATATTTACAACATGTAATGCTCTGCTTTCTAGGCCTGGTACATACCTAATACACAGTAACCACCCAGTTTATACTGATTTGTTAGGAGGAATGGATGGATGGATGACTGTCTTGTTCTATCAAAACATTGTGTCAGTCTGCTTTCCCTCACTAAGTGAGATAATCAACTAATAGAGAAAAAGGGTTTGCTTTGGCTCACAGTTTTGGAGGTGTCAGGCCATGGTCACTGTTGCTTTCAGGCCTGTAGTAAGGCAAGAGCATATGGCAGAGTGAAGTCATTCACCTCGTAGTTAATTAGTTTTCCGTTATGTGAAAAAAAATGCCTGCAATAAAAAACTTCCAAGTTTTGGCTTTGGCTCTCAGAAGTTTTAGTCTGTGGCTGGTCAGTGCTGTTGCTTCTGGGTCTTCCCAAAGCAGAGCATCATGGTGGGAGTATATGGCAGACAGCTGCTTTGGTCATGGTGCCAGGTAGCAAACAAGAAGAGTCAGAGCCCCCACCCATTCCTTTCAAAAGCTCTTCCCCACTGACCCACCTTTTGCCACTAAGCCCTGCCTCTTGAAGGTACCACCACCCATCGCCTCCAAGACATGCCACAGGTCTTTGGGGACATCCAAGATCCAAACTGTAGCAGTAACATCTGTTCTCTTCCAGTCTGTAGACATGGATCCTGGACAGGGGGATACCCATGAGTCCATGAGGTTATTTCCAAGCTTTAGAGATTGTTGGGGGTTCTTAACATCCATGTTTCAAGACTAAACACAATTCAGTATGTGGTTTGGCCATTCTAAGTTCAGCAGTCCATTGGTGGATGGAGTCAGGACAATCGGAAGGAGAAAATAAACCATCTCTATTCACAAAGGACATGATATTTTACACACACCAAAAAAGTATTAAGCAAAACCAGGTGTCATGGTCTAGCCCTATAATCTCAGCACTTGGAAACTGTGTCTGGACTACTGTAAGTTTTAAGACAGACTGGGCTGCATAGCACATACCAAGCTAACATATCAAGACTCTGTCTCAAAAGCCAAAACAACAAATATCCCCACAAAACCGGCAACCATGATGGTACCTGCCTATAATACCAGCAGTAGGTAGATAGAAGTAGGAGGGAGAGAAGTTCAAGGCTAGCCTAGGCTACATGAGGCACTGTTTCAGGCAGCAAAATGAAAACAATAAACAATAAAAACCCAGAAAACTTTAAGACATCTACCAACCAACTAGTCAAAGTAGTGAAAGAAGATCCAGCAAATGAGTTCAACAGGTTTGGGGATATAAGATTAGTACACACACACACAAAACAACAACAACAACAACAACAAAAAATCATTGTATAGGGTTTTTTTTTTTCTTTAAAAATTTTATTTGACAATAAGCAACAGAATAAGCATAAGCAACCCCAGGTTAGCTCTTCTTACATCATCGAGAAGCAATTGACTCAGCAGGAATTGATTTGAGGACTCCTGTCAACTGTGGTCCAGGACTGCAGCAAGGCTCCACCAGCAAGCCAGGGCCACAGCAAAGCCACCGTCCCTATTGCTTTTCCCAGCTCTTTTTAATGGAGCCACAAGACATAAACACTTGTTCAGCTGTACTGTCTGGGAACATCCAGGGTGCAAAGTCTCTGGTTGTGCTGGAAGGATGCAGGATTTAAAACTTATCTCATTAGATGGTGTCATTGTACACCAGCTCCTGACCACAAAGGAGGTTGCAGCAGGCAACACGCCTGTCTGCATCACGACCGATGTTCAGCCTTCTTTCTGTAGACCTGGGCTTTTTACTTGGATTTATTTTTTTTTTTTTGCCTTCTCTACTCTTGGAGTTACTATTCTAACAATATAACAATATAACAACCCCATCCCAGTGCCAAATCCCCACCAGATAGAACTTAAATTTGATCAAAAACAAAAAAACTGGGAGATGCAATTATCTAGAGTCTTTAGGGTAAGCAACAAGAAAGAGTCACCCTAAACTAATGCCGAACAACAGTGTTCCCTATGCAGGGCTGGAGTGAGAAGAGGCGAGACACGCTACTCATTGTTCAGCCCGATGACACTGCAGGGGGTGGCCAGGACCAGCAAGTGACCGACTCTTCTATTTCCCAGACAGCTGCTTGTACAGCTTGGGCACATAGTCGTCCCATTCTGCCTGGTAACACGTGCCGGCTACCGGGGCTCCGAGGTGATACTTCTTGCGGAAGGCGGCCACCTTGAATTTGCCACGGTTGTCTCCTGACCTGTTGCTGAGAATTGGCTCGTCACACTTCAGTGGCTTTTCCTGCTCGTACACCAGCCAGACGTAACGATGGAGGCCAGTGCCACTGGGAGGCCCGGAACCTACGTAATCTGAGAGGACCTTGCCACTGCTGATGTCGTTGCCTTTCATGTTGACCACCAGAAAATGGTGCCACTCCCTGAACTTGGGCTCTTTTCTGCTGGGAGCATCCGGGTCTATGAGGACCAACGTGTAGAGTTTCCCTGGGTCAAGGCCATCCCATGAGATGCTGCTGGGTCTGTTCTTAACCTGGGTGGGCGTCAGCACTTGGCCCAGCTCATCCACCTCCACCCCAGCAGCGTAGGTGACCCTCAGAGGGTGCTGGGGCCGCTCATCCACCTCCTGGAGACTCAGCGGCCCGGTCCACTTGCTGATGTCTGCCGGCATGGCATAGAGGCTGCTGCGGTGGCAGTTGGGTGCAAACAACCGGAACCCACGTGCGAGCCTGTGGTGCTGAGAGCTAGTTGGTGACCACGTGAGCCCCGTAGCCGCCGGAGGAGTATTAAAAACCAATTCGATTTGTTAAAGTGCTAAAATTAAAATACGCAAGAACAAATTGGGCAAAAATTATGAAAGCCATAGTGGGGAAAACACAAGATATTGTTGAAAGATACTGGACAGGCTCTAAATAAATGGGAAGCACTCCACGTTTGTGGACCGGACTTAGGAGTGAACAAGAAATAAATATCCTTTAAGATGGTGTGTAGATTCAATGAAAGTCCTATCCAAATCTCAGCTTCTGGTCGAAATTGCTGATTTTAAAATTTGTATGGATGGATTTGCAAGCAGCCAGAATAGTTAAAACTGTCTCGGGAAAAAAAAAGTTGGAAGACGTGCATGTTTTCTGATGTGAAGTCAGAACCAAACAATAGTAATTTCGACAGTGGCGGACTAGCATGCAGAGGGACAGGGATCTGTCTGTGCACTAGTGTTGACTCCAGATGTACACTGTGTGAAGTGATTTTCATCAAAGACACCAAAGCACTCAACAGGGGAGAAAACAGTCTTCACTGAGTGGTTCTGGAATTACTGGACGACTACAAGCAAAAGGATAACGACGGGACCCAACCTGAACACCAGATACAAGTTAATTCAAAACAGAGCAAAGACTTAAGTATCAGAGTTTATAAAACTGTTAGGAGAAAGCATACGGCTACGTTTTTTGTGACTTTGGATTCGATAATGGATTCTTAGCTATAACACCGAGATGTGGGCTGGCAATGGCTCAGTGGATAAAGGCACCCACTGAGAAGCCACAGGACCCAAGTTTGATCTCCAGGACCCATGTGATGGGATTTGTTCTCTGGCCTCTACAGGTGTGTCATGGCAGACAAGAACACACACACACACACACACACACACACACACACACACACACAGAGAGAGAGAGTGTAACAAATCAAAACCAAATAAAATACACTAAGACATGAGCCACAAAAGAAAAAGACAAATCGAACTTCATTAAAATTAAAATATATTCTGTGTTTCCAATTGTACTATTAACAATGAGAAAGGCTGAGATGGGCCAGCAAGATGGTGCCTGCCACCAACATGACTGGGTTTGATTCCTGGGCCCCACATAGTTGAAGGAGAGAAGTAATTTCCCTGACCTCTGCACAGTTGCAGCACATCCCCCTTAGCAGCTGCACTAAACTAAAAACAATTAAATGTAGAGTCTGAGGAGCAGTGCGGTTTGGAGACACAGAGGACAAGATTGGCCCTCCAGTCTGAGGATTGGTAGTGGAGAGAATTCTCTAGTGATTGGAAGCTTTGTTTCCTTGGTTTTCAGGTAAACTTTGTTAGATTACAAACAAAGGGTCACTACAATTCTGTCTTAGAAAAGAAAACCCACCCAGAGGCAGCCCCCAGAGGCAGCCCCCAGAGGCAGCCCCCAGAGG